CTGGCGGGGCGGCGCACTGATGTCCGCCATTATTTGCCACTGACCAGTCCTGTTATTGACCCAGTGATTGCTGCATCCCAACTGAGACGCCGCACTGCAAACGTACCTGTTGACATCACCGCTGACCAACATGCTGAAATGACACGGCAAATAATAGCCACAATGGACAATAATAATGCACAACGAGACACTGACACATAGTGTTGTAGCTAAATTTAGCAGCTGCGCTCGCCTGGCGTCTATTCTATAAGAGTTCCACTCCACTGCCCGGCCGGCGCCACGGCGTGCCACCACGGCCACAGGGTTGGTATGTATGTATGTACCAGTGGACGACAGGACTCGTGTAACGCCGTGAACGAAACGTGTGATTGAGAACAGGCCAGTGGACGCAATGACTCGGTAGCACGGTGGACGAATGAGCTGAAGAAGCGACCCGCTAAGTACGGTTTCCGATAATCCGAGTTGATGTGCACATTAGCAAACCGTACGACAGTGAGCGCACGGTCCAACCGGCCTGCACCCGACAGCCATCGGTGAGTGTTTGCCGACGCGGCGGGACGGGGCGGGGCGGGGCCAGATCGGTGTGGCGTGCCAATGCATACCGACTGGCTCCATATACCACCCGACGGACCGACGTGGCGCTCCCATGCACACGGACAGGGTACACAGTCACACACACACACACACACACACACACACACACACACACACACACACACACACACACACACACACACACACACACACACACACACACACACACACACACACACACACACACACACACACACACACACACACACACACACACACACACACACACACACACACACACACACACACACACACACACACACACACACACACACACACACACACACACACACACACACACACACACACACACACACACACACACACACACACACACACACACACACACACACACACACACACACACACACACACACACACACACACACACACACACACACACACACACACACACACACACACACACACACACACACACACACACACACACACACACACACACACACACACACACACACACACACACACACACACACACACACACACACACACACACACACACACACACACACACACACACACACACACACACACACACACACACACACACACACACACACACACACACACACACACACACACACACACACACACACACACACCGGCGGGTAGCGGGAGCATGTCCGACTAAAACGGCGGCCGGTGGGCGGTGAGAGGAAACCGCAGCACCGAGCAGCGGCAACCAGCGGGAACGACAGCAGAGCGCGGCAACCAGCGGGAACGGCAGCAGAGCCGAAACCAGCGGGAACGACAGCAGAGCGCGGCAACCAGCGGGAACGACAGCAGAGCGCGGCAACCAGCGGGAACGGCAGCAGAGCGCGGAAACCAGAGGGAACGACAGCAGAGCGCGGAAACCAGAGGGAACGACAGCAGAGCGCGGAAACCAGAGGGAACGACAGCAGAGCGCGGCAACCAGCGGGAACGACAGCAGAGCCGAAACCAGCGGGAACGGCAGCAGAACAGCGGAAACCAGACGGAACGACAGCAGAGCGCGGCAACCAGCGGGAACGGCAGCAGAGCCGAAACCAGCGGGAACGACAGCAGAGCGCGGAAACCAGACGGAACGGCAACAGAGCGCGGAAACCAGCGGGAACGACAGCAGAGCGCGGAAACCAGAGGGAACGACAGCAGAGCGCGGAAACAAGAGGGAACGACAGCAGAGCGCGGCAACCAGAGGGACAACAGCAGAGCGCGGAAACAAGAGGGAACGACAGCAGAGCGCGGAAACCAGAGGGAACGACAGCAGAGCGCGGCAACCAGAGGGACAACAGCAGAGCGCGGAAACAAGAGGGAACGCCAACAGAGCGCGGAAACCAGCGGGAACGACAGCAGAACGCGGACACCAGCGGGAACGGCAGCACTGTGCGCAGCATATGGATGGCAGATGTCAAGTGAAAACTATGCGCAATATGAGCGTGGAGCAGGGAGCGCACGCTGAGTGCTCAGAGATAAAGGATCAGCGGTGCCATGGTTCACTACTCAGTACTCGGTAAGAATAACGCCTCACTGTCGTCAATAACGCAAATATCCGAGCTCAGGCGATAGAAACTGAATGAGGATGACGCCACATCAAACAAGTCTCGAAATGGTTTCAAACGCAGGCAGAATACGCTCATTTTGCAATGTAGGTACATACCGTCTGGATGGATCACGAGGTTAACGAGTAAAACGCCTTTTGGGGCGACCAACGGAGCGAGCGAGAGGGTGGGCCTTGCACGTGTGAAATTGCGATGGGGCACCTCCAACTAACTTGTGCACTGCACCCTACTAACCGGTCAATAGCGATGTGCCAAATTTGAGCACAATCGGCCTAGTCGTTCTTGAGATCTGGAAGCGGCACCCTGCACGTGCGCACGTGCAAAATGGGTCCCAACTGACTTTTGCATGGCACCCTACTAACCGGTCCCTAACCATGTACCAAATTTCAGCACAATCGGTTCAGCCGTTCTCGAGATCTCAAATCGACCCCTGCACGTGCGCACGTGCAGCAGCACCCCAACTGTGGCACATGGATATGCTTGCCTAGTGGGTGCCTACCTAGTACCTACATGCCAACTTTCAGCGCAATCGGCTCAGTAGTTACCGAGACATTGCAACTATTACAAAAGTGACACCTCTCCGTTTTGCAAGTGGCAGTTGGGGCATTCCACGATAGATCGTACCACTTTTTTCCAATTTGACACCCTCATCTCTCTGAATTTGACGAGAATCGTTCTCAGGGTTTCAGGGGTAATCAGGTGCTCTGAATCCACCTGTAACAGTTTCAGGCTTATCAGATAAATATTTTGTGAGTTATGGTGCATAACATTTTTTTGGATCCTGCTTTGCAGCGCTAAGTTTGGCGGGCTGTAACTCTAAGACGGATTATTAAAATGTCAAATGTTGTATTACATTGAACTTGCAATGAAACAGAGATAAATATGTATTTTTGAAATTTCGAAAAATACGCTATTTTTATATATGACACATCGAGATTTCTTTCATTTGCATTTTTTGGACTTTGGGACCAATTTTTTTTGAATTTTTATTTCTTTAAAAAATATTTGGCACATTGTTAAGAAGTATGCAAAAAATTAGGAAGGTGTTCTTTCTATAAATGTATTTATTTTACGTCACGATAACGGTTTCGAATAGTGATTTCGGGAGCGGAGCTTACAAATGGCGTGGTAAAGCTGCCTAGTGACATCACGGGTTGCTGAAATTTCAATTGAAGTCTGAGTCATCTGAAAAAAAAATGAAAAGAGGGTTCCTCAAACCCTCTTTCCTATAAGCGCGAGAGTGAAAAAGGCTGTTTGGTTCTGACATTGTTTTGGACGCCAATGACCATAGCTGTCCGAGGTGAAAGTTACAGGACGCATACATGGTGTCCTCCAGAGGTCTCACAACTTGTATATCTGGGAATTTTGTAAGGTTACATGAGGTCAGGTCGGTCACGTGACGTCACTGTCAATGGGGAAAAATAAAAACTGTCATTTTGGCGCCGAGAATGATCTAAAACTATCTCACGTACATGGTATAGTGATTTCATGCACTCCTTGCAAAGTCCAATGCTTCACTTTTGCATTGTTAACCTTGCATGACGTCATTTATGACGTCACTAGGGTCGTACCAGTTTTTCGTCAATAACTCCCGATCCAATTGAGCTATAGAGTCGGGAAAGTCACCAATGGACTCAGGAAGACCTTCCGAATCGAATGATATGCCATATGATACCCTTTGCCCAGTTTCGTGACCTGAGGGGCTCTGACCTGACCTTGACCCGAGGTCAACTACTTAAGTTGACCTCACCCTTTAAAAAGTATACCATTCGACGCACCTGAGCTAGGCGAACACAATGATGCCAAAATCGCGGCTCTGCGGCCATTTTTTGCGAAGTTATTTACTAAAAACCGAACCCGTAACTTCAGTCACTTGACCTGACCTCAGACGCTACCGATTAACCTGAGACCTTAAAATCGGGTACCAATTGCTGCGACTTGTAACGGCACACACGCTCGTTTTTCCGCGAGGCTCTAGGTCTATTAGAAGCGAAACGGCGTGCTGGGGTCGTATCAACCCCTCCAAAACCCATTTTGTTTGCGGGAAAATGAGGAACTTATAGAAAGAACACATTTCCAATTTTTTGCATGTCGATTTGAAATGACATGAAGTTTATTTTGAATAAATAAAAATGTGAAAGATTTTGGTCGCAAAAGTCATTAGAGGCCAATGAAAAAAGATTAAGGTTTTTGTTCAACAATGAAAATTTTTCTTTGGATTTTTTAAAATCCAAAGAAACAGTCACTGAAATTCATCAAAAGTAGTCAATTACGGGGTAAAAGGGATGGGTCTACTACCCAGCAAAAAAAAAAAAAAACGCGGGCCAATCGGTCCAGCGGTTGCTGAGATACAAGCCTCTGAAAAGCGTTACAGGCCGGGCCGGGCCGGGCCGCTCATACTGAGATTTTTCCGTTACCTATATTGAAAAGACTTCGCTTCGCTCGCTGCGCTCGCTCGCTCGTAACAACCTTTTCAGGCTCATTGTAAAAGAAAATGACGATTAGAAGCTTTAACTTAATAACCTTATGTAGGGGCGCTCTGACCCCCACCTAGGCCCGAGCGGTGTAGACGGCCTGTCCCGCCCCCCCCCCTCCCCAGTGCCTAACTCCCAGCGTCCTCCGCCGACCCACTGTATAGCGCACACCCGAGGAGGGTACCGCCGATCCGGTAACGATGTGCACGGGTGTACAGTGTACAGTGTGCGGTGCACGGTGTACACTGTACAGTGCACGGTGTACGGTGTACACTGTACAGTGCACGGTGTACAGTGCACAGTGCACAGTGCACGGTGTACACTGCACAGTGCACGGTGTACAGTGTACAGTGTACCCGCTCTGACCACGTACCGCCGATCCCGTGACGATGTGTACGGGCGCGCCCGGGTTGCGGTACGGGTCGGCGGCCGTGCCGTTGTACACAGTCTCGTTGTAGACGGGCCACAGCCGCTCGTACGAGTGTTCGTGCGCCCAGATGGCCAGGTCGACCCCGTACTCCATCAGCAGCTCCTCCATGCCGTACCTGGGCCGCGCAACACACACTAGCTCAGACTGAGTACAAAACCAGCCGGGGTCAGACTGAGTACAAAACCACACTGGGTCAGACTGAGTACAAAACCAGCCGGGGTCAGACTGAGTACAAAGCCAGCTGCAGGGTCAGACTGAGTATAAAACCAGCCGGGGTCAGACTGAGTACAAAGCCAGCCAGGGTCAGACTGAGTATAAAACCAGCCGGGATCAGACTGCATAGGCGGCGGAACGGGGAGGGCACCGGGGCACCGTGTCCCCCTTTGATTTTGGCATTTTAACATTAGCCCTATGGGCGTTGCATGGAAAGAATGGGACCAAAAGTCGGCAGTGCCCCCCCCCTTAATTGAAGGTGTTCCGCCGCTACTGTGACAGACTGAGTACAAAACCACACTGGGTCAGACTGAGTACAAAACCAGCCAGGGTCAGACTGAGTACAAAACCAGCCGGGGTCAGACTGAGTACAAAACCAGCCGGGGTCAGACTGAGTACAAAACCACACTGGGTCAGACTGAGTACAAAACCAGCCGGGGTCAGACTGAGTACAAAACCAGCCGGGGTCAGACTGAGTACAAAACCACACTGGGTCAGACTGAGTACAAAACCAGCCGGGGTCAGACTGAGTACAAAACCACACTGGGTCAGACTGAATACAAAACCAGCCCAGTTCGGAGGAGCTGACAGGCGGCGGCCAAGTCGGATCGCTTCCATGGCCAGCCGAGGTCGGAAAAGGTAACACAAACATGGGAAACATGCATAAAATAAACTGAAAACCACGGCGAGATCGACAACTTTGACGGGCGCATCCAACGGGCTAGTAAAGCAAGACAATTGAAATCGATCAGAGCTATAATGTGAAAAGGGCGAGGTGTGAGGACCACTGGCCTCCAGTGTCAGCGGGCTGGGCAGCTGTGCGAGGTGTGAGGACCACTGGCCTCCAGTGTCAGCGGGCTGCGCAGCTGTGCGAGGTGTGAGGACCACTGGCCTCCAGTGTCAGCGGGCTGCGCAGCTGCGCGAGGTGTGAGGACCACTGGCCTCCAGTGTCAGCGGGCTGCGCAGCTGTGCGAGGTGTGAGGACCACTGGCCTCCAGTGTCAGCGGGCTGCGCAGCTGCGGGCACCTGGGACCGCGGATACGCGAATCGCATACATGCATACATGTACGGCCCTCCAGGTATTAAGTGGTTGGTTCCCAACATCACAATAAGCGATCTGCATTGAAGAATACGTCTAATGGCTGTTGAAAACCATTGCCAAAGGGTGTGCACGAGCCCTCTTCTCATTTCTATTGAGTCATATTACAGGTGTGTCTCTGTCATTCAAAGTTATTACACCAAAAGCACATAGGCTAACCAACCATTCTTTTGCTGGAGGGCCGTACGGCTGGTTCATCTCAACGTTCGCACCGTCCACAAAAGAGCGATAACGATATCTCTGCAGCGTACCTTTAACCCGCGCCGGGCCGGTGCTCGGCGCCAACCGCGCCGGCCGGTGGGAAGGGGTGTCTGAACAACCACCTCCCCCGTCTAACGCAGCTCCTGGGCCACAACAATAGAGCTACAGCGCTGCGGAAAAGCGCATTCGATAACCCTTATAGCGTTCTTTCTGGACTGCGCCCTCAGAATTGACCTCAGGTCAACGGTTAACCTCCGGACGGCAATAACTAAACAATAGCCTTTTTAATAAAAAAGTAACCGTGCTCTCATAATTAAAATCGAAAATCGTAAAAAGGCCAGATAATCTCGAGGAACTTTCGGCTTACGCCTAATAGAGCGAATTGAAGAAGGCGTAAGCCGGAAGCTCCTCGAGGTTATCTGGCTTTTTACGATTTTCAATTTTAACTATGAGAGTACGGTTACTTTTTTATTATACTTTTAACCCGCGAGTTGCTGGGGGGGGGGGGGGCGTTAAACGCCCCCATTTTTTTCGCCGGGCCATAGCACCATAAAAACGGCGCGTTACCTGTAGTGAATTGATTGAAGCTTATTTTGACAAAGCTTCAAAAAAAAATCGGTCGGAGATTTTGAGATATCGAGGTTTTAGTGACGTCATGATTTCTGAGTTTTCGACCAAAAACGGCATATGTTCAAAAAATCATATAAAATCACAGAATAGTCATACAGACATACCCTGAACGCCAATACCATGACGACTGCCAATACCATGAACAATCAAATGGCTATCTTCGATTATTGATTATCGTTCCGCATTTTCCAAAATCTTGAACTGAATCTTGGCAATTTCTCGTGAATACTTCACGACCATGATACATGCATTTCTTAAATTGAATTTTTGAGCCAAACACGTACACATATGATAAAATGAATGTCACCATCGTATTCTACGCCCAAAATTACCCATATAACATGTGTCACAGGCTGCGAATATCAATTTTGATTTTCGGGGATATGTGCCTACCCGGTTGACCTGACCTTGACCCTGACCTATGCTTGAATGACCCCTACATGGAGCTGACACCATTGCAGACCTTATATGAAGGCTTGTGCACCGTTTTGACAGAGTTTATGACGAGAGGCGCCCATTGCGAAGTCCTGAAGTCAATGCTACTGAAAGCCCGATTTCAGGTGTTTGACCTGACCTTGACCCGACCTGTGAGCTTAAAATTCAACATTTAAGTACTCATCAGAAGCGTCTCGTCGCGTTCTTTCGTTTGCCGCCTCGTGCGTTTCGCTGCGCCTATTGGTTCTGCGCCTATTGGAGTTATCGGCTGGGGGCGTTTAACGCCCCCCCCCCCCCCAGCAAACGGCGGGTGGCGAAATACCCCAGCAACTGCCGGGTTAAGTATGTCTATGTCTCTCAAAACAGTGCTCACAACAATTCAGACTAATAACATTTTTATTAAAAACGTTTTCTGCAGTAACTTTTGGCTAAAGAAAGTTACATTTATTTTGCCAGCATCGTGTAACTATCATCGAGACGCGTCGAATGAACAATTATTTGACCTTAAAAGGTCATTTTGAAAATTTGACGTCAGGTCAATGTCATGACCTGACCGGAAAAAGTCATGTTGCATAACAGTCGATTCCTTTTGTCGAGATGATTACAGGGGTGGATATTTGTGCCGAGTTGGGGTAGCACGAGCTTTCCCAATTCCACGCCGGCTTGACTTTGGAGCCGCAACAGACGGCGGAGGTCAAGGTCACCGCTAGGGCAGCGGCGGATTTGCTGCGCCCGTGCTACCCCAACTCGGCGCATTTGTCCACCCTTGGAGACGAACACATCTGAGGTGTTTTCATCACTCTAGCATGCCTCTATCAAAAGTTATTGTCAGAAAACCGCTGGGGACCTTTAACCCTCGTCCCTCGCCGGCACAGGGTTGATCGCCGGTTGATGCAACCCCCCTTCTAAGGTTTTTCGCGGATAACTCGCGTAAAAAGCGGCCGATCGCGACGAAACTTTCAGGACCCTCGCATTGATCAATTTTACAACTACCCTGAAAATTTCATGGCCCTGACCCAAATGACCTTTGACCTGTGACCTCTTTTCCGAGACCATGTTTGGCCGGAATCGCGATTCCGCGTATGTCGGCTCGCATTAGCCGCGAGATTGCAAGCTTTTCGTTGTTTCAAACGTTCAAACATGTGATTTGATGTTGCTCCCATGCATTAGGGTGGGTGTCAATGTCACCTGAAGGTCAGGTCAGGTCACTGACCTTTGGTGACCTCGGTTCACTTTTTCGAGCTTTACATGTTTCTAAGCTAGTTTTTGGAGCTGAATTCGAATTTAGCAACCATTTGAACATTTACGAAGTAGCTTTAATACCTTCGTAATATGTTACGAAGCTGTCAGAGGCGGTTGACGCGTATTACGAATACCCGTCACGACCCCTACCGGTTGATCTGACCTGACCTGACCCGACCTGGTCTAAATGCTTAAAGACATCATCTCTGATCAAAACTAACACGATGTTCGTGATCAGCACCCCGGAAAACCCCACAGCAGCCACACTTAACGACTTTCTAACAGGTCCCGATTTTCCCGTTTTTCGGGTCATTGACCTGACCTGGAAGGTCACCCGATGACCTAGGACCTTAAAATTGGATATCATCGGCTTCCTCTCGTGACGGGCAACACGCTCGTTTTTCCGCGAAGCTCTAGCTCGATCAGGGGCCAAACGCGAGGGGGGTCGTACCCCCCCCCCTTGGGCCGTCGAAGGACGCAAAATGGCTTGTGCCGGCGAAGGTTAATGATCTGAGGCCTGTTTCACTAAAAACTTGTATTTACAAGTGTTTGTAGTTTACAATTCATGAGTATTTTTACCAACTACGTAAAAACCGATCTCACTAAGCTTCATCGCCAGTGGCACCTCCGAAAAGAAAATGTTTGCAAATAAACTTGTAAACAGTAAAATTGTTTTTAATCAAGAACTATAGCATGTTAAAGATATTGTTTCTTTGTATCAAATAAAGTCAAAAGCTGTATTCATGTCAAAAGCTGCCTAATTAAATTATAAATAATGATGCTGTTGGAAAAAGATATAAATGATAGTTCACATTGTCCTATTATTGAAAGAAAATAACACGCAAAACATTTGACAGCAGAAGACTGTTGAATGCAATTATGGCGCGCGAATGACAAAACATGACGATATCTTAATACCGATCATTTTGCTTCTTAGGGTGTGTGCTAAGTAAAAATTGAGCATGAAACGACTCAACAAAGCATAGTTGTTCTAAATATATGACTGTTTTCATGGGTGGAGAATGTTTGAAAAAGTTACCCCGGCCGGCGACCGATAGTCGGAAAGACGATATGCTCATTGCTCACGTTGTTGTAACTTGTAAACGATCGTCATGAACAACTAGGGCTATTCTGACCAGGGGCCAGGGCTGCAGAGTGCGGAGTCGATAGATATTAAGGTGACTCCGATTCCGACCCCGACTCCGGCTTCAAAAATCGACTCAGTTTCCATCTCCGACTCCAGCTCCGACTCCAGGCATTGCTCATTAAGTCCATATAACCAGTATAACGCCTTT